TCTGTTAAATCTGAAATCAATAACATTGGACAACTGCAATTTTTCACTTTTTCTTAGGTATTGTCATACACATATTATTTGCTGTGAAAACCCATCCCTGATCTTCGTTATATTTTAACATTTGAGGTTTTAAAGTAATTCCGTAGCATTTACATGTGAGTCAATTTACACACTTAAGCTGCTCGGATTCAGAAACAAATTGGTGTTGTTGAACAGAAATAAATAAAGAGCCTGAAAATTTATTTACTATTTCATAAGAAACATTCTATGTGTATTTGTGTGAATGTGTGTTGTTAACAGCATCCTTTCAGCTTGCCCAACTAAATTCCATTGTTTACTGTTTAATTTTAGGCCAGTTGGGCCTCTCGAGTTTAATTAAGAGATTTTCTGTTTCAAGTATGGCAAGTGGCACGTATACATACAAATAGCCTCAGCCCGGCAAGAGCAGGCATATCACGCACATATACACACCACAATCACAACTACAAAAAGTTCACGACTCCAAGTATTCAACACGCGACCCCACATAAAAATGTTGTCCGCTCTTCGGTTGTCCGCTCTTCAGGGTTCAAGAAAAAATTGAATGGCTTATAAAACGGCCTTTGTAGGATGTAGTCCGTAAGTGTTTATATTGATGTGCACAACTACAAGTACCACCACCAACACACACACACACACTTCTGTTGTGTACGTATACATTATTTATGCATTGAGGCGCTCATACGCCAAGCAGTACCATTTCATTCATACTTAATGAAGGATTATACTGGAATCCTTCCTTTGGCACTGCAACTTTATTATTTCTGTTTGCGTGTATATATATATGTAGATATAAATATATATATATATATATATATATATATATATATATATATATATATATATATATATATATATATATATATATATATATATATATATATATATATATATATATATATATGTATGTGTGTAGTGCACACATGCGGCACTATATGGGCGTGTTTGAATTAAGGAAGCGTTTGTAGTGAAATGCTTTTAGGTTTTTTATTTGACGCCATGAATATTTGATATGCCTCTCAACCGCAAACATTTGCTATTCAAGTGGCGAAGTAGCGTGGCTTGTGGCAGTGCTTAAGTTAAGAAATGCTTGGCATCGCTTAACACAAGTATAAAAGCTGCGCAAATATCTGCGACCCGCCACTACCGAAGCACTGCTGATGTGTGCCTGCTAATATGGTTATAAAAATATTTTAATAAAAACTTAAATGAATAATAAAAGGCATGAAATGAAATATAGAATTATTTCTAATAGCATATCCACAAATTATGAATTATGCGGTGTGCGGCAAATGTGCACTCTTCCGTATGCTGCCTAAATACATGATTCATCTATAAATGTACAAATTTATGAAATCGTTTGAGAAAAGTGCAACTCAACCATTGAACTTCCATCTCACTGCACACTAATGAGATGCATCCGATGCAAGCTCAATTCAAACTCCCATGTGGCAAAAGAAAACCTGCTGCTTTTACTTTATAATTGAAGTATTAATATTTCGGTTCATTGAGTTTCTGACTGCGATGGAACCAGAAAAATCCATAAATGATTATATTTTACTCCATTTTTTTCTTTTGTTTGGCTCTAGCCACCAAGGATTAGACATGAATCTAAAAATATTTCGAAAATATGCTTATATGCTTATGGAAGCGTGTAAAAAAAAAATATTCTTTCTTGCCAAGGATTGAAAAAGTTAGATTCTACTTTGAACTTCAACAATTTGAAAAACTATCATTTTAAAATCAAAAGGAATTTCGCATACTTTATTATGTTGAAGCTATTTGAGCCAGTGCAATGGACCACTTTAATTCTTTATTTATTAACTTTATTAACTAGATATCTTCAAACCACTTCTTTACACCTTGACTGGATTATTGTTTATCACTTCATCAGACTAAGCAATAATTGACCTCAGATCTGCATACCTCCCCGAGAAGCCTGTAATTATTCTGAGATTTCATAACACGGTGTTGATAAGTCTGTAAGTTTTCGCAAATATTTTCAGGGCTCTATCCATTATGTATTTTTTGATGGGATCAATCTTGAGGTCCCTGAGGATGTCATTCGTCCTAATGTACCACGGTACTTTGAAAAGTCTTCTCAGAGCCTCACTTTGTGCAATTTTTGGCTGGGGAATAGTAATGTTTGAAGCTTTGCTAAACGCTACACATCCATATAGAAGTGACGGACGAATTATTTGGTTATATATCAGTTCTTAACATTGAGATTTTCATTTCTGAATAGCGATTGGAGGTGATGAAGAATTTTGGCATAGCTAATTTTTTTCAGTTGAATATGTTTAAGCCATATAAAATAATACTTATATTATGTATAGTATAGGCCAGGACTGTCCAAAGCACGGACCGCAGCTAATGTTTGTGCGGTCTTTCATGTCATTCAATCTACTACAATTACACAAATTTTCTTTTGGTGTACTGGTACAACTACATTATTTTATTTTTATGATATACCAAATAAATGAATTTAAATTGATAAATTAATTAAACTAAATTTAATATTACAACCGTACTGCGGCCCTCCAATCTGTACAGTGATTTGTATTGGCCCGCGATCGCATCTAGTCTGGACAGCCCTGGTATAGGCTATCAAAAATAAAATCGATATTTGATATTGCGATTTGGCATTGGGCAGTAAAATGAGTTCAAATTTTAATTATTAGAATATACCCATACCAAGATTTCAGTTCCAGCATAAATAAAAGTTCCATGTCTCATCCAACAAAAAGGAGATACATTTTCTTTCATATTTTTTACTACCTTATAGGACACACATACACAGGAAAGTAAAATATATTAAAATAAATTACATGATTTTGAAAATAAATATTTTTAAGTATTTTGAGTAGGAATAACATTCATAAATAGATTATTTTTAGTTAGATAAGTTTTTATTGATATCCACATAGTTTCTGCGCAATACTATAATCTAATAACTGCTCTCAATAATATGGAATGAAATTCAGATAAAGTACCTATTAAAATTTGAAGTTTTTTAATATATGTTAAAGTTTTCTAGAAGCACTTACTGATTATCTTAAGTCAATAGGATCAATATTTTGTCAATCAATTTATCGATTGATCAATCAATTAAAAAAAGAGACAATTTATAAACCCTCTTTTCTTATAACGCAGCTATCAAAAATATAATACATATCCTTTGAACAAATTTTGAGACATATTCAAATGACCAATTTTAAAAAATAATATTTTAGATTATTTTTTGATTATAAAAATAATCAAAAACTCACATCCGTTTTCATGAGCATTTAAGTCGAATTGAGAGGATAGATATCCTGTGCACGTCCTGTCCTTTTAGTCGTTCCTATCGTTGTGTTTCCAATTTATCAGTGGGTTTTGTTGTTCTACGATTTATCATTTGAAATTCTTTTGGAAAGTTTTTAAACACGTAAAGATTGTTTGTTTATTTACACTGCGATGTCGTTAAATTTATTTTTTCATCTACAAGTCACAAAACTGATAATCTGACATCGTTTATATGGAAAAGCTTAATACACTATAAAGAAAACTACGATATCCAACTTAATGGTACTTTAATATTGATAATAATGCAAAGTTCTTAGGATTGAAATTCTCGTTTAAATTTCTTAAAATTACTGAATTTTCAATTTTTTCCCTATAATAAAAATTGTAATTTAAATATTTATTAGTCCGTTCCCTCTGATTAGTAGTAGTAATCACTTTCAAATTTATTTTTAAAAGTAAAGACACTACAAATTTCAGTATATGATTGATTAGTTATTAGATTTACTTATAAAAATATAGTTAGTTCGATAAATGAACTGATGGTTCAAGGCAATGATTGTTTTTTTCTATATTTTTGTTGTGTTTTTCAAAGTCCATTTACCTGCTTATTTTACTTAAATGTTGTTCATCTTATAAATCATACTTTAAGAAAGCAGTCCTATTGGTATTTTAGTAATATTAAAATTAAAAGTTTTGACTATTGAACTAAAGGTGCGGTATGTGCAGATGGTTTTCGATTATTATTGGTAAATCTAATTAAAAATAATATTTAATAAAATTATTTTATATTCTATATGTACATACATATGTATAAGTATGTACAATATAGTTGTATACTGTTAGTAGTACGCCCGTTTTACGTGCAATAATTAAACACACGCCTCTTTAAAATAATCGCCCAAAAGTTGCTTACGTTTTGATATGACAGGTTTCGGCAGGAATAAATCCTTTATATGGAAATTCAATTTAACGTTACAAAATAATTTAAATTCACTTTGATCTGCCTTGACTCCCCGAAGTCATTAAAAATTGAACATAAAATTTTCATTTGGATGAAGCCTGTCAACGTTTCTTTTAATAAATTTCTTTGGGGTATGACACCATGGAATACAAAATTCTAAAGAAAAGATTCAGAATAATCTGAACAAACAAGTCAACTGCAGATGGCGCTTGGAACAGTTTAAAAGTCGATTAACAGCAAATTGATTTGGATTGAAGAATATTAGGTGGGCTTTCCTCTAGCATCGGATGCTGAAATTTGTTGAAATCGTTAAGTGAACATTGGTCCAGAGATTTGTGCTGCTCAGGCACGCAAAATGGATTATTTTTAAAAATAATTTGGTCAAAAGAAGTAGTACATGAACAAAAGTCTAAAATAATTTCATTTGAATTTGCAATAAAAACATAAATCAAATTTATTTCCCTGGATGTCGGCACTTAAAAATATTCTAAAAATTGTAAATCATTTACAAATGTCCTTTTTTGTTCGTTGTAAATGCGATTTGATTGATACAAAAACACTTTTATTGCTTCGTTGTACTTGTGGTTATTTTTATTTTTATTTTTATTTTTATTTTTTGCTACTTATGAGCAAAAAGAAAATTTATTTTAGATTTTAGAATTTTTATAATATGAATTTTATAATCGTAAATATATTATCTTCACATTTTATTTAGATTTTGCCAGTCGAGGAAACAAGAAGTTCGGGGATAAATGCGAACGTACACTGGAATGTGGCTTTCCTGGCTCGACATGTGACCAAAAGAAAAAGTCCTGCCAATGCACTGAGGATTTGCCGGTCACAAATCACATTGATAAATGTGGCAAAGGTAAGCTTTTCAAAGATAAACTGATATGTTATAAATTCTTACATATAGTAAAGGATACACTTGTGTGATGAGAGCAAAGTAAGCTCATATCCGCTGCCAAACGACAAAAACTTTATATGGCAGCTGCGTACATAAATACATCAGTTGTAGAAGGATAGTTACCCATAAAATACAGGACAACTGATCCGTTAAAGAGGTAAACTTTTCATAAAACATTTAGCTCCGTTCACAGCCGAGACGACAAAGTCAAAAGAAGGCACATTTGATATACGAATTAAATCCATAAATTCTATTTGCCAGTTTAGTTCTTTATTTTCTTTATTCTGTTGTGATATGCTCGAGTAAATTAGAAAGGCAATAAATTTACACAGAAAACTTAGGATTGAACTCTAAACTGCAGAATAAATTTCTGCATTTTGTTCTCATTAGTTATTGTTTATGATTAGTTCAAATTTTGGCTAATAATGCTAACTTCTATCATATATATAGTAAATTGTACCCACATTAAGCATTTTAAAATCATATCCGTGGTTCCGTTTTAAATAAATATATTTATTTACCTTAGCGTATTTGTAATCTGAATAGTTGCAATTGTAGGGTCTATTCCTAACAATTTTTAAACTAATTAATTTCGGGCTATGAAGTACCGAAAATGTTACCAATTTGAAATGATAATGATTATATTATTTGTAAAGAAAAACTAATATAGATCAAATATAGATAATGTAAAACTTAAAGAGACTTTTTTGAAGTGATTTGAAGTGACAGAATAAGAAAAAATCATTTATTTACATTGTTTGAGAATTTATATTTCCCATCAAATATAAAATATCTCTAGAAATTCGATCATAAAAAACGGCAGTCGACTTCCTGAAATTTTAATGTCGATTAATTGTAATTTAATTTTAAGATAGGTATACGGAAAGTCCCTTCACTGAAGAAGGAATCGGTACAGACGTTAATGGGCTGTGGCTGAAATACTCGGATGCCCAGAATTATAAAATATGCTTACCAACTTAGGCAGACAGCATAAAAAAACTCCCAATTCACATGAAGTGGCTTTAAAATTAATGGCGGAGAATGTTAGAAAGTTGAATATTCTTCGACAAAACAAGCAGATGTGACTCCAATGGGTTCCAAATTGCGCTGGAATTTCTGGCAACGAAATTTTATACAAACTTGTCACGGAAGAAGCAGTGTCACTTTTTGTAGGTCCGCAACCAATCAGTGGTTTGCAAGGTGGCATTTTTCTTATCATTTATTTGGAAAGAAAAGAAGATACAGACAAATCTTTACTGGGATAATCTAGTAGGGTTATAACAATCAAAAACGCTTATAAGAACGTACTAACAATAACGGTTTAAGAATTGTACGCAACTATGTAAAAATAATTTAAGATTCATAATTCAACAGAGTACTATCCTCCTAAAACTTGGGAATTTACTCTAATCAAACTTATAGGCTTTTTAGGGAACATAATGCAAACACAGAATACGAGAATACCGACTGTTTGCCAGACTGAGCTGTTTGACTGAGGTATATATCTCATATCGAATGCGAAAATAAAACTCTGTAATGTAGGTTTAATACAACAATTTGTCAAAAAGATTAGACTTAGAAAAATATTCTGTATCCATGAAGGAGGGACAGAATAAATAATATATAATATATCCATGCCCCAGCACAGAATTAATAATAACGGGAATATCTGTAGAATAAAAAAGGTGTGATTTCTTATAGTGATAGAAATTTACTTTAGTTCCTTATTCTATGAGTTGTAATCCATAAGACTTAAGCGACAATACTTGTCTACTCCTTGAATTTGCAACTTATATCATAAGAAAAGTGTTTTCGTTTGCATAGCAGAAATAAAGTTGAAATTCAATTAAAGATAGATTTAATATGATTTTTCTAAATTAAAAATATTGGAAAATGGTTATTATATTCATATGAGCACTTAAATTTTTGATTCTGTTATATGTTACTTTTAATGATAAAAATAAAAAATTTCTGTAATTATATTAGTATAATTTGTATGATAATAAGTTCAATGCAATTAAGGATCGTTGCTAATATCATGTCAAACTCAATCAAATAATTTTCGCCACTTCGGTGTTAAATCTTTTTTTATAATAACTTTTCATACCTTTTTAAATTTGACATTTATTTTTTCCTATTCCGTTCCTGTGGAAGGTGAAAAAAATTGAAATGTCATATAAAATTTTTATGACGGAAGTTTTGCAGCCTTGCCTCACATGCATAGTAGGTTGCACTGCAGTAAAATTTTGTAAATGAATATATAATAATAATCGATCAAACTTTTCTCAATGCTGTCAGATACCTCTATTTTTAGATTTACTGCTCATCAATCCAGGAATATTCATTGCGTAGATTAATTTTTCTGTATCATAAGTTTCTCTCAAAAAACATAATAAATAATAAAAATAATTTTTTTAACAAACATGGATTTTTTATTTAAAAGTAGTATATAATTACCTATGATACCAAAAATAAACAGTAAGTGATATATATTGTAAGTTATAAGTCGAAGTCCTTTACATCCTTTCTGCTGTTTACTTATATATGGACTCTTGATTTAACATAAATATACTCTTTAAGCTCTTTAAAACTCTAACCCTCCGTGCTATGATGCAATTAAGGTACTTTCCTCTGCTCCAGTTTTGTATTGGTGTCCGACTCCTTGCTGCTGACATTTCTGCTTCATTGTACAGTGAGAATATTGCATTTATGCACTTGCTTCCTTTTTATATATATCTGCATATACATATATAATTTTATTAAAGTTTAATGCCGAAAAATACAGTTTATATTCACTCCTCATTCGCGGTAGCTTAGAATTTTGCTGCAGTTTAATGAAGCAGCATGTGATTGGCATAGTTCCAAAAAAATTGTCATTTCTTTCTTAATAATTTTAGATTGCAAAGACTTTTCTTACAGCAAATTATTTTCCAAACTAAAGTTTTATTTAATAATTCAACGATAGAATTAATTTTCTAACTATTATATGAAGATGTGTTAGTCTTTATATTGCATAATTAAGAAGAAATCTTTATTCAGTCTTTAATTTTAATTATTTTTTATTAAATGATTTCTTCACTTAATACTTTTGATGTTGGTATTTTAAGGGACACAGCCCTTTTGAGCAGGATGAAGCTAAAGTGATTACCTAATTACGTATTTTAACTTTTTTTTATCTCAACTAGACAAGAAGCGTCTAAGATGACAGAAAGTAATCACATTTCTTATGAGTAAAATGAATAAGAAGCTGTTGTCGCTGTATTAGAAACTCCTTAAGAGACTGAGATGGATTAAAGTCAATTGTAGCACAAAGAATCTGCTATTGTCATTGTGAATCGCTGTACTAGGAGGTAGTTTCCCTATTATACTCTATAAGACTCATTACATTTATTTAATTCAAGCCACCATAGATTTTAGTCGTAAAGAAATAGCTATATTTTCTGTTCTCGTATCTAATATCATAATTTGGTCAAAATAATATTTTGAATAAGGATAGAAATTTTCTAATAAACAGCTATTAATACTTCACATATCTGCGCCTTTAATAGGAACACTTAAGCAAAGTATCTATAAACCAATTTATGTGTACGAGTATATTTAAATACACTGAAAACTTTATACTTTAAGTACAATTTAGAAAAGAGAAAAAAACATGAAAGCAACAATGGCGTCTCGAGAGTAAAAAAATCAATTCATTTGGCGACAGATTTCTTTTGCCACATGCTTTCGCCAGGATTCATAATCATGCAACGCTTTACGGCACGGTGCGGAATCCTGCGTCGAATCAAACTGTATTGGCGCCGCTCAAGCACCATTAAACCATTAAAGCGCACCTAAATACAGACTGAGGAGTACGACACAAGAGTTTGTTGACGAACCGAGACTGCGAAAAAATCATAGCAAAACATTCAAAATACAAATAATTTACGCGCCTCGAAACATGAAGGAGAGTGCGCCTTCCCAATACGACGCTAAGTGAACACACACTTGGCAAGGACACGCTTGGAGGATACTCTGCATTCAACATATCATTTATGTAAATATTGTTGCATGAATCAATTTCAGGCGTTTACATTTAATGGGTATTTAACAGTAATAATGCGGTTGGGTACGCAAACTGTTATCTATGTTGGGTAGTGGAGGGCAAAGTATTTCGGTTCCCATTTCATCACTGAATTAATTATAATTAAATATCAGTTGTTTATGCACAGCAAAGCAAATTTTGATTCAGTGATGGTATTTACTTATCAATGTTGTTGGGAGGACACATCCTAATGATCCTTTTATATGGCATTAGAATAAACAAATCGGAAAGTTTTTAACTTTTACAGTTTAGTTTATTCCTGAAGGCTTAAGGAAATTCTAATATATTTCATATTCTTAAATACTTCTAAAAAGTAATTTAAGTTAATAATTTTTTCTTTGATGAAAATATGAAATAATAAAGTGCAAACATATTTTCAAGTTGACTCTAGACAAACGCTCCTACAAGCGTTGTACAGCCAAGATAGCTATATATTTATATACGTTGAATGCTTATTACAACTATATATACTATATAACAGTACAAACCTCATATTATAGACACTTTACTCTGGTCATTGTTTTAACGAAAAATACAAATTTAATTAATTTAAACCAATCGTCCTTTTCATAGCCAACACTTACCGCAGTCAACACAAAATGTCAAAAATATCATAACAATTTTAGTTATCCTGACAAGCCAATAAGTCAGAATGCTTTTACATTTTTAATTAAAGTCAATTATGAAATGTCGTAATCCTGGTAAATAAATCGTTTTTATTACAGAGGCAGCTGTCAACGAGTCCTGCTTCTTCAATGAGCAATGCGAAGTGAAGTATTTCCAAACCGAATGCCGTGACGGCAAATGTATTTGCCGCTTCGAAATGACACCAATTTGGGGAAAGGATGGTTCTGTGGAGTGCAAAGGTAGATATACTCAATTCACATTTCATTCATAAATATTTTGTAATAATTTCAACTGTCAATTATCCTCACAACCTTTATTACTGTTGTTTACAGGACGCCAGGAGAAGCGTGGAAAGGAAACCTATATTGATCCGGCTATGATTGGCGTACTGGTAGGAATGGCACTGATGTTCATTATTATTTGTGTTGTCCTGCGATTGTTTAGCCAGTGAGTAATGAAAGCCAAGTATACTTTCTTTTCACTTCGTTTCCTTATACTTTACGCTATAAATGAATTTTCATTTCATTAAAATTTGATTGAAATTTAATTTCCCCCGACAAATCATAAATATTAAAGCTTTCTGTTATATTCAAACAAAAAAGGATTTAACCTATCCCCAAATTTTTCCTTTTTTAATAAATAAACGACCTGTTTTCTTAATTTGATCTACATTTTCTACATCCTTTTTAACTGGTAAAATAAGATAAAAAAGTTGGAGATGAATAGAAAAAAGTTCGAAACACATTGGAAAAAGTTTGTCAATTTGTCGCTAATGAAAAGTTAATGAAATAAAAAGTTTTACAATTTCAATGAGCAAACTTTTTTTTTTAAAACAGTAACATTTGTACAAAAATGTTGACGAGCAATTGTCACTTTTAACGCAGAATCCTAACGAAAATGTCATTCAATACAAAGTTTCCCTTCGCACCCTTCCACTTAGCGAAGAGCCTTCGAAGTTATAAGTCGGTACTGTTAGCAGCTACGAAGAGTTTGAAACTTTTTCAGGAAAATTAACTCCCATTTAAGGCAAATATACATTAGATTCCAAAGAAAACATTTTCCGCTTTCTCTTATCGCAAAATCGATATTAGATTTTCTAATCAAAAGGTTTTGCAGTATTTTGTAGCTCAGATAGAAATTAAATCGGAGCAGTGACCGGCATTAGGAACTTCATTTGAGTTTATATTCAGACATTTTGACAAACGCACCTTTTTTCTGCTTCCTATAAACGTAATAACTTTAAAAAAACAGCTTTAAATAATACACCAAACTAACCTTTCAGCTTATTTAGTTTCGAACACTTGCTCTCTGCATACAAAGTCTGAACTATCTTTCTGAAAAGACAATTAGTCACATTTTTTATAAGCATTACTGTATTTTTTCAATATGTAGAAAGCATCAGATCACTAGGTGACATTTTACCACACTAAATTCAAATGTATCACCAAGCGATACAACAACAATAAATAGTTGAAAACAACTTCCAATAATCAAGGTATATAGCTTTGACAAGAAGTTAAAAAAGGTCGTGATTGGCGAAGATAAATTTTCTTTTTATTTTGATGAAATGGTGACAATTGACGCACATAGTGACTCTCTTTCTTTACAATAAATCCATAATTGGTGTTTTATTAATAGAAAAAAACTGTTTCTTTATAATCCTTACAGTTTATCACAAAACTAAATTTCAGATATTTTATTATCTGACGCAAACAAACCAATTCAATTCTAGTACAGATATAATCATAGACAAGATCAGAAGCGAAATTAGGAGTGGAATAGCGTTGTTATACTGATATGTCAACAACAGCTGTTTCAGTCCAGCGGTAGTTCTCCATTTAAAATTCCGCTCACTTTAAAACTGCCACAATACCATATTAGAATGCTTGACCCCCTTCTCAATCCAACTATGATATAAGTGATAAATTTGTCTTAGTATTAAGAGAATTAATAATAATAGGATAAACTATTGGAATCTTTAAGGAATCTTCAAGTACATATTAAGGATTAGAAAGAAACATATATTGCTGGATTTTATTTAAGTCTAACCATTTATGCATCAACCTAAGAAAATATGTTTGCATATTTTAATTAGCGATTTATGGTTACCATCTGTGATAGTAACTAATAAGTTTTAACCTTATTAAGAAGAGATTATTAATAATATATGCATAAATCATATTATATTACAACCGTCGAACTTAATTTACTTAATTTATCATGGGATCTTTTTTCCTTTTTTTGGTTGTACCCCTTTAATCCAGTACATAAAACCGCATGTAAAATGTTTTGAGTTTTTATTTTTCATTTACAGAGCGCGATGGCGTGAGAATCGTACAATTTTCAACACTCCTAACCCGAGGTTGATGAACGTTTCTCTCCTCCGTGATAGTAAACTTTTGCATGGACAAGAACGTCGTGGCTCCAGAATGTCAGTGCGTGCACCTTCACGTCAACCGAGCATGGCTTCGCTGCGTCCCCATTCGCCTAATCCGTCGCTAGGTAAGACAGGTTTGTATTCCATCGACTAAATGCACTAATTCTACAAATTTTCTGTCTTTTTCCTTAAGAGTTCTGTTTTAATTAATAATTTTGATTACTTTAAAAAATTTCAAAATTTATAAAAATTTTAATTATTTTATATTAAATTGAAATTTTAATTTATTTGCGTTTGTTTTTGTAAATAAATAAAAATGAATAGATAAAAGTTTTAAATAGTTTCATATTATATAAAATAAAAACCAAACCTGATGCAGGTTATACATGTTCAAACTTGGTGTACAGCAAAGGTCTGTTGTAGTATGAGAGACTTCGCCCGACAAATATCAAAATATTTTGATTTTCGTCCAACCGGATGAGCTCGCACTACATCAATACAGAAATTCTAAATCATTTTACAGCAGTTTGCATTGTGTATACCTTCGATAATACGCTCACAATCATCAGAAGATAAATAAAATTTTATTAAAAAAATATAAGCAATCTAGCAAAAATGATAAAATTATAAAATAAAGGTAGGGTGCGAAGTACCTATCATAGCTTAATGGCGCCGTAAAACTCCTGAACCATATAGACAACTAAGGCAATATGTAAAATGAATCTGCGATGCTGGATTTTGGATCTGCTACTTATGTTAATGCGCATAGATGCTTCCGATTACGACGTGTTGAAAGCATTTACTTTTTGTTCTACGTTCTCTCAATTGCTTATAAAATGTTTTATTTGATGTTTTGAATTTACGGAATCGCAATGATATAAAATGACACCGCTTCCACATTAATGCACATTTAACTATTAAAATACTAATATAATCACAAAACTATTTCACTTGATGCGGATTAAAAATATTTTTGGGATAATATTTTATAGAACTTCGTTTTGAAGTCGAACATATATGAATAGATAGGATGTTGAATAAGAAAATTAAAATTTTATATCTCATTATGTAAAAACTGCCCTGGTCAAGGGACTGCCCTGAAGCAGTCTTGAATGCAAGATTTGCTGACACTATTCCACGCTTTATAACCAATCTCTCCTTGCGGTGAGATAATTTAAAATTTTTATAACACTCTGGTCAAGGGGCTGCAGTTTAGAAGTGGCGTTTACTGGCAAAAAATTTTTTTTACGTGAGTGAGATTAGGGAACCCATTATGCGCTGTACAATTGTCCATACATAACAGTAAATTTCGATATTTAGTTATCATTTAGCATCTGAAGTCATTCGTTAAATAGATACATTGTCATCCACGCTTTCTTATTGTGTGGGTAAAGCATTGGAGAAGAAACCAAAGAAAACACAGAGAGTTGTACCAAGAAAGAATAAAAAAAAAAATTCACTAGAATACATTTTTTTTAATAAACGACCAGATTAAAATATCCAAAAACGCGAAGAGTTTAATGAAAATCAATAATAATTATATATAATAATCAACGTAATAAATATTTATCTACTGTAAATAATGGTATATACTCGTATATATAAATATATATATATATATACAATATGCAATATAGTTATAATTATAGCTTTAGTTATTTTTATAATTTATTTAAAAACGTTATTGAAATATATAATAAAAATAAAATATCAACTTAAAACGATATCTACAGGTACATTTTTTCTTTTAACCAATCTTATACCGACATAAAGTTAACCACACAATTAAAATTTTCTCTATTACCGAATTAATGTACAGGACGAATGCCACGTTCGAAGAGCAATACACGTTCCAGTGACTCACGCGTTAGCGATGTCTCAAATTGCTCTAGATTGCTCGAGCATCCACATAACACTAATGCCTCAGCAAACGCATCTGCAACTGCATCTGCCTCCACCACAGCCACTGCACACTCGCAACATGCGCCGAACGCAACACACATATCACTGACAGCAGCAACAAATGATGCTATCACTACTACATACGTATCCGCGCCCGGTGCTGGAACTGCCTGTGGCATGTCCATGAACACTTCACCATCGGTTGCCATCAGAACGAATAAATTTTAAACGGAACTTGCGTTGCTGTGCCGATTTGATCAATTATTTTTAATTTGGCCACAAGCAAGACTATATCAGCACCACCGACACCAACATCCACACCGAGACATACACCGATATAGAAATCAATACCGTTAACGGTAGCGATACCGATTACGTCATACCGTCATATACGGACAATACCATTATTGAACAGATATTGTTGCACTACTTCTGAAATCGAAACTGAGGTACAGCAATATTTTTTGAGGACGTTAGATTTGCCTTACATTCAAAACCAAACGTAGAATTGATTCATATCTGGAAAGTGGTGTACAACTATAACTCTTATTTTTGTTGTAGCTCTTATATGACAATGTAGAAATCTATAAATGTCCCGTTCGTTTTTTTTTCTTTACAGTAGTCATTACACGAGTGCTCTATACTATCCTTCTAAATGTCTTCCAATACAAAATACCAAACACTCAACTGCTCTACACATCTTAACTTAACAACTACACTTATACACCTAGTAGTGGAACCGCAAATGTATAGATATCAGTAGTTTCTTTTTATTTTTGCTTTTAGTCTAACAACACCTTTCTTCTTTCTTTTAATATATTGTCTTCCAATTTTTTGTTTTTGTACGCCGAAATAAAAAACTTCGAGAATTCTAGAATTCTAGAAAAAATCCTATTGTGTCACCTATAATCTAAGGTAAAAATCTTTTTATGTAAAGTAAAATTTACCCCCACTGAATTATTTATTTGGAAGAATTTTGTTACCTATGGATACTGATATTTTTTTAAACTAAAAACTAAGTTTGTAATTAATATTGTGTCTAGTTAAAATATGTCCAGTCTCACTGAACATGTTCTGAATTATTGAACAATTAAACCTATATCAATTTTGTTTTTGTCTCTGTCCGATTTCAATGCTTTCTTAACGAAGATTATTTTGACCTTTATAAAAATAACAACTGCTGAATAACGTTTATTCTGTTCCGATCAGTTGTAGCACAAATCGCTATTATGGCCGCGGTTCTCCGCTCCATTTGTAGCCTATGTTCGTACTATAGTCTGTTTCTTATTATATTGCCAATCATGCGTTGAATATATTTTCAGATGCCATTATCTTAAATTACAAAAGATTGCAATTATATGTTAAGTTAGTCCAACACAGATATCAATAATATAATTTTCTTATATTATTTTCAAGCTAGACTTCTGAACAAGATAATACCAGGCTGGTTTTCTACCCTCTCTGCAATTTTAAACTTAACCAATTACACTTATGTAGGTTTGGGTCATCAACAATATTTCGTGACACTAAACTTTCTGTTTATTCAATTGAATAACAATTGTACTTCGAAATTATTGTGGGACAAGAGAACTAGGCTTCTTAGTTATAGTAACGCAAATACACCTTGAGTAGACCTATTAGAGACATAAATGTGTATTCGAAGACTTCAAATATTACTCCTAACTGAGTGTACTTTTTGATTTTCTTGTGGATTAATCGCGTTTCTTCACGATTGAACAATCGATTCATAAGTGATATATCATCAGTGATATATATATGTGACTAAACTATATAATAAATAAATAAAGTAAACACAATTAAAAAAAATATTAATAAATTTTATTTGCAATATTTTTATTTATAATTTGTTTTAGAAAAAATTATTTTATTTGCTGTGCTTTTCAAATTTCATTTCAATCAGTTTTTCGCTGTCTGCAGTTATAATTTCAAGCAATTTTATGCACTTTAGATAAAATATATATTAAGTATTTAGTATGTAATTTAGTTTATAGATACGTGTGTTTATGTAGTCTATGTTTGTGTATCTTGTACAGTGTGTGCTTATCTAACCGCCTTGATCATATTTTATATCTATAAAAAAAGTATCTGTTAAAATGCTGTAGAGTAAATTACAGCTAATTATAAATTAATTATTAACTTGTATAATTACACAATTTATATATAAATTTAATTATACATTTTTATCTCATAAACGGTAAGTTCTGAATAAAACATAATACAATAATTAAAATTGTTCCTAATTGATTTTTATTAAATCTATCTATATATGATATATATAGTACAAATATGACATGACAAACCAGTCATTTTTATTTTTAGTAAGAAATTACGAATATTTAATGTATAATAACTGAGCTTAAACCGACCGATATTAGATGTATCAGATTTATTTAGAAACTAAAAGTGTTAAACAGGATACAAAGCTTTTTGAAATTACTGGATATACCCAGTACAATCATAAGAAATATGACAGTAGTATTCAGTGCTATTCGAGTTTTCATTTTTAAAAATATTTAACGATACGATTGCTCATCTTCTGTAATCTAAACTAAACTAAACTAAATGAAACCACGTCCTTTCATAATCCATGAATATCCAACTTTTTCAATAAAAATTTAAAGTAGCGCTTCGTTTTCAAATGATAGTCCCCGAAATCTTACAATAGCTCAACTAACCATAACAATTGCTTTCTACACATCTACTATATGCTGTGGTATAAAACCACAGAATGTCTGCCCATAGTTTTGGACTCTTTTTACGAATAGTTTCAGGCAAACGTAGCTTCAGAGCTGCAGAAGTGAAGTAAGAAAAGAGCATGTTGATATGCTGACATTATAGTTATTTCTTTTTGGCGTGAGTTCTTTAGTTCCGTCCTTCGGCTTCCACTTGAATGCGCACTGCCACTGTATCGTTTTAAAGAGTAAAAACTACTAATAGATTAATGGAATGAAAAATGAACATTTTTATTAAAAATTTAACAACAAATTAAAATACAGTCTCCTTCATGCTTTTTAACAATTTGGCTCTCCGAAAAAATTCATGAAACACTACACTACACTACAATAATCAAAGAAAACTGTTATGACTGTTTAAACTCTTTGCATAGCATTTACTTGATTGGTCGGTTGTTTCTGGATCGTATGCATAGGTCGAAGTCTCATCTTAAGTTATTAGACATTTTATCTCACCATCAGGGTGAGTCAAAAAGCATTGCTTAACCGACTTTAGCCATGAATTTTTTTGAAAAATTATGTATTTTTGACACCAAATGAAATTGTACTCATATCAACTGATATCCATTATCAGTGATTCAGTATGAGTGAAACTCTTAATTATCAATCGATGAACTTTAAGCAATAAATCTTTGATTTTCTTGGCATGCTCTTCATCAATGATGTTAATGATGAACCTTGTTCCTAAAAGTAATAATAATAGTATGATGTATTATTGACATGACCTGATCAAGCTCGATGAAACTTAAGTCCAGTATTCGGTGAATGAATTCAATAAGATAAATGCTTGTTATTTAATTTGTTATTTTAATTTAAAGATGATCTTACATTTTAATGAATGAACAATTAGTAATTTATACTTTTGTATAGTAATGTTGAAGCATTATCATCAATACAGAATTTGTTATAATAGTAGATACACATGTATACAATACTATATTATATAGTTACACATTCCTGCCTTGAATTAGAAGTGATTAGCTTATAAGCTAAGAACAACAATAAAGGATCTATAATTAAGCATGTCACTAATACAGCGTTTAACTGTTTTGTAATATATACGAGTATATTAAAAATATAAATATTTATATATATATGTATATTTTTTTTCTCTTTATTTTTATATTTATCATTTCTAGGTTCACGTTCTGGTTCACACGGCAGTGCGAGCAATGCATCTGCTACGTCGATTCGCTCGACGCGTAGCAATTCTGTAGCACCTGGCAACATTGGAAATAGTCATCATGAACGCAAGGACTCTTCGCACCACAAACATCAGCATCATCAGCAGCAGCAGCAGCAGCAGCAACAGCAGTCTCTGATAACGAACATCACCCCAAATCCAGTGGCCGATAGCGTCACCGTAGAAATAATTGAACCGGAAAAATAAATTTGAAAAATATTTTGAAAATTAATTTTATTATAAATAATATTATATTAACTTGCTTTAGAATTTATCCAAAACAAATAAAAAGTGGAGGCTTAAGAAAAATTAATAAAATTAAAAAGATTTTATTGCGCACCTCAAAGTGAATAGCAAATATAATGCTAAAATAAAAAGTGAAATTATTTATGGAGTACATTCACATAAATGTACAAATGCAAATTTATTTTTAAATTTAGTAAAAATTTTTCAATGAATTTTAGAAAGTCAACTTTTGCGTAATCACACAAAATCGCTAATTTCTTTAAAAATAAAACTGAAAAAACCTTGCATAACAAATTCATTTTTTCCTTAAACTGCTTTTGTTATATATAAAATATATAAAAATTTAAAAAGCAAACGCAATGGCAAATGCAAATATTTATATAATATTTAATATTATTTTAAAAGATACAAACACATCATAGCGTTAACACAATTAAATCGAATGAAGATAAAAGATACAATTTAACATATTTTTCCATGTGAGTTATCTATCACTGTGCACAGAAACAGATACATTTTTTAAATTAATTTATTTCAAAACTTAATATAGTAAATAGTAAATATTTAATATAATATATAATATATATATTTCAAATAAGGATAATACAAAAATATTTAGCTTAACTATAAAAACATGAAAAGAACTATCTGCATAAAATGAAAAATATTAATAAAAATAAAATTTATTAGAAATAATTAGTTAAATTCACGAGACACGTTTATAGTTAATAAATATATAGCATTTTATGTAGAAATAGAAGAATATAATATTTTTGCCACTTTCGAATAAACAGATCTTATGAATGATCAAAGATATAATGTATAGCCACTCACTTTAGTACACATACCCATCTAAAGCGTATAGAATCTACGAAGTAGCATTTCATGCCAAATAAAAAATAATAGAAATCGTTATATTTCTTATTAAGCATTACTCATTAGCATCATCGAACTACATATATTACTTTTAATATTGATATTTATATATAAGTGAGATATACATATATCTTGACCTCGTCTACTTCAATATAAGCGACCTTCAAGTGAAAAACCCAAATTAATTCGTAATTAAAATTTAAAAACAAAACTAAAAGAAACTATTATATTGTAAAATATAACTTCGGGACCATATTTTCTAATCAAAATATGCGTTTCAAACGATATTTACTTTTCTCTTAAGTTTATCTATAAGTCTTTAAGCCTTTATCCTTATATGCCTAAGCGCTAGAAAAATCGTCGCAAACGCCATTTATGCACTTTTGAACTAATGAAGAAGTAAACAAAATTAATTAATTGCTGAGAAATTTATTTATTTATTTAAAAAAATATGTATATTGAAAAAACGTTAAATAATTATAAGCAACAATTAGGGAAGTAATTTATATTGTACACCTTTAGTGTATTAAATTAATTTTTTTTTTTAAGTTTTAACAGAAAGCCTAAAAGCAAATTATTTTTAACAGTGTATGCAGTAATTTTCATGAAAACAAATTATATCCGTAAATACATATATATATTATGACCCAATGTTCCCCTGGGAATGCAATGGGATAAAGAAGAAGACAGATATGTATATTACAAAGACATTTTGTTGCTAAGTCCTGGATTCATTGGCCAGATAACAAGTACGCATAAGTTTTAAATATTTCTTCAAGATTATTATAAAAGAAAATATGAAACGAATGACCTGACCACTAACATCCAATTAAACAAATGTATTACTCACATCAATTATAAAGGTACTTGTCGTTTTAAACAGAATATATCAATTTAAACTGTTTAACAAGAAGATGCCGCTCATAGACACCCGCGTCCGCTAGAAAAATCGATAGGGACGTGGTTATAGATCTGTTATGCGATTACACGCTAGTTTCCAAAATTCAAAAGTAAGTTAAATAAAGATACGTGAAGTCGTACTTAGAGTATCAAATTTTTGAAGTTATACATAAGATCGATAATATTTTGATTAATTTTAATCATAAAAATATTTTATTTAAATCTGTTTATTCATGAACAATTTTCATTTTAATGAAAGATATGAATATATAAAAACAATCAAATGTATTATTCATTGAATCACTTGTGCATGTTTCTACGTAAAAATAGTTACAATGCGTCAAATTCTTAAGCCTAGGTGTGCCCGTCTTTCATAAGAAGGACTCCCACTGAGATTTATTTAAATATGTACAGCTATAGGAATACAAATGCACAAATTCTTGATTAAAGTACAATAATTATTGTATTTAATTCTTTTTAAAAAGCTTTAAAAGCTAGCTGTTTCATAGAACAGCGCACACAGATTAATCTTGATGCATGAATTACAACGCTAATAGAAAAAACAATAGATCTGTGTGATAATGATAAAGATAATCTGTGTTATTGTTAAAATAGTGATTTAAAGTTGCAACATTGTTGATATAATGCCATTCCAAGTTTTGATAACTGTCTGATATTACGAACTTCTCAACGAGAGAGAGAGAGATATTCTGGCTTTCGTTCGAGGAAATGAACGTCTTCTATATGATCGGGGTTCAGCTGTAACATAAAAAATGTACAATAAAATTCTTATTGTAATCCATACTTAAGAAGTTTTTTTTTTTCTTTAGCATAATGTCTTTGAGTTGAATTAGCGTTCCTGCATACAGTTTGTTTGTTTTCCAAAATTTTTCTCTAAAACTGATTTAGTCTTCCTATGAATCTTCGAAATTAAACAGCAAAACACCAAAGAAGCACATTAATACTTTTAAACTTAATCCTCACAACTAAACTATTTGTACATTTACTTAAGTTTTATTTAATAAAAAAAAAATAAAAAAGAAAAAACAAACAAACAAATTACTTTATAATGTAAAAATAATAATTGCATTTTTCTCTTTCAAACAAAACAATCTCAACTTATTTTGTAATATTTTTAATTCAATCAACGTACAACAATCAAAAATTTGCAAATTATACAAAAACACAATAAAATAAATTTAATTTAAAGTTAAAGTTATTAAAAATACATGAAATGTGAGATCATGCAAATAGCACAATTGGCCCCCAGGCCTAAGGAGATCGATCCGAAGAATCACCGTGATAACCTAAAATCACGAAAGTAAATATCTTAATTCAAAGTAAATTAAAAGTAAACAAAAATTTAGAAATCGTTCTCAATAGCATATATTAATTATAACATATATTATAAACCCGTATAATATAAGCAAATCTTTTTTAATGCTCTTATACAAAATAGGGGAAGATTTTCTGTTTGAACATTAAAAAATATTTGTTTAAATATTCTCAGCATACAAAATATATATTTAATATAGAAACAAAAAAAAAACGCAGATACAAATAGAAATCAGATACAAATCTTAAATCAATAAAACATCAATTCAGTATATAATTTCGATTTTATATAAAAAATTATTTTGAAATTGCTTTTTGTGCTCAATCAATAAAGCTTAACTGTGAGAAAAAATATATTAAATAAAACATATATAAACGCAAAAGTTTATAGAAAAATACAATTGAAAAGAAAATTAATATAAATTGCACATAAAATTGAAAAGATATACTTATACAAAAGCAAAAATCTTGCAAAAAATAATAATGAAAACTTAGCTAATTAATTTATTATATAATGAAACAAGCGATTTAGCTTTAAGTCAAAATATATATACATACTTGGAATAAAAATTTAATACATATATATATATATATATATATATATATATATAAATACAAAAAATATTTACGTAGTTTGTAAAGTTAGAAAATTTTTTTCGAATTAGTAACTTTATTATACTAAATTAAAAATTCCAATTTTTTAAAATATAAAAAATACATATTAAATGCATCGAATTTTCTATGAAAACATTTATTTACACATGAACCGAAATCATTAAATTTTACTAAAAAATTCTAAAAAACTAAAAAAAGTAAAAACAAATCTGGTTTTGGAATTTGGGGAAGAATTTTAAAATTGATTTGTTTTTCAATTTCTTGTAGATTTTACAAAATTAAGAAACAAAAATAGGATGGAACAAAATAATTTAATACATGGAAATAAATATTTGAACTATTATAACACTCTTTCTTTGAATTTCGGAAAAAAAATTAACTTATAAATAAAATTAAACACATATAAATGATTCTTTTACAAACCAAAAAATGCTTTAATTTAAAAGACGATCCGATATACAATTTGTGTAAAAAGTACACTTAATTAAAATAAAATAATTTTTATACATATAGTGCAATAGCGATAATAAACCTTATGCAAAAAATTTAGAAATATTAAACTAAAACCGAACTTTCTTAAAATGACCCCTTCCCTTCTTATGCTGTGTTATTTAAAACTTTTTCGCTATATATAAGCTAACATACATCATTCGTATATTAAGACATAACATATTGTATCATTTTTTGCTATGAAAATGAATGTTAAAAAATATAAATTCAGTTTATAAACACAATATAACATAATTATTTATTGATATTCATATATTAGTGAAAATTTAAATGGTAATAACACAAACACACAAAAAAAAATTAATTACATTTTTTCAGTTTCTTGCTTTTAATAAGCAACTATCATATATCATATAAACTCTGTTTTTATATGTAGAAAATATTTTTGTTAAGTAAAAATAATTACACAATTTAAAAGTTACACACAACCAAAACTTTACAAGAAAATTTTATTACATACATATATATATTACTAAAAAAATATATAATAAAAAAAATTCTTATATATTTAAACAGAAATTATGAAGACGCCGCAATTTATATATTTAAAATCATTTTAATAGACAAAAATTATATTATTAAAACTATTTAAATTATATTATCATATAAACTTTAAATAAAATAAACCTTAAATAAAATATATTGCAACTCTGTTTCAATTCATATACAGTACGCGCTCAGTTATGTGAACTAATTCAGATAGAGCAAGTTCACATAATCGAAATGTTCACCTAATCAAAATTTTTTTTTTTTTAAGTTTTTTTCCTAATTTTATTAATAAAAAATACTTTATATGAATACAATCTTTAGTAACACTTGTTATCCAGGTATTTTTTTAATTGATCATAATCCACTGGAAACAAAAACTTTTTAAAGCATCTTGACTTTGCTGCTTTTCCCACAAACGCCAGATGCATTTGTGCAGGCTAAAAATGTAAGGCGCGCTTTTTCAGCTTTCACGCAGGTGCAGCTGTTTCATGTTTCCAAGCCAAAGTTTTAGAAGGAAGCACTTTCCAAAAAATACTTGGCTCGTCTGCATTATAGATATGATCTTCTTTTGGGTTCTGCGCTTTTATTAACGAATTAAAAGTGCTTTTAAAGGAATTCACAAGATGAGAACTCGAAGGTAACTTAACCCCTGAAATTTTTAGAAGCTTTATTCCAAATCTTCGCTAAACTTCTAAACCCATCTATCGCTGGGAAAAAATATTCTTTTCTTTCAATATGTTATATATCTCTTTTGCTTTTGTTTTCAATATTTCACGAGAGACTGGAAGACTTCTACTTCGTTGTGCACAGAACCACTCATAATTTTGACGCGATTTAGGCATCTCTTCGAATTTCAAAGTTTTACTTTTAGAACCAGCCACATAATTGTCTGTGGTATCTAAATCTTTTTTTATTTTTTTTTTATCGTACTAACTGAAGATTTTGATATGTAGTATTTTTTTGAAATCGATGTAACCGATGATCAACTTTCTAAATTTCTAATCAAGTCACATAACGATCACATAATGTTAAAACTTTTTGCGGCATTGTGATGTCGACTGATAAAGGCAGAAATTGATTTCTGGCTTTTGGAAAAAGCCTATGCAGTATAACATTAATTGCAAAAGTAAATAAGAAAAAACAAAAAAAATACAACAAAGTAACTGTTTCATCAGAATGCTGGGGCCTAGAAATTGTAATAACATTATAACAAAAACGAAATATGAACATCTTTTAAGATAAATTATATTATTTGTAAGCCTTAGAAGAAAAAAATAAAACCAAGAATACAAATTTTTAGTTGTTCATATAATTGAATTATCACCTTGTTCACTCTATGGAATATCACATGTTAAATTTTTACTTAATCGAGTATTCACATAACCGAGCGTATACTGCATATTTTTATAATTATAGTATTCCCTAAGATATAACATGCAATAACACTTCTATAAACAACCCACACTTCAAACTATGCAAGTTAATGCTCATTAACTGTTTAACCGCCTCTGGATGTAGCTGCCGCACATGTGTTTTTTACCTTCAAAGTCTTTTATAATCATCTGCTGCAAGAAGACAAGAAAAAATCTCACATATTTTCTCTCAAAAATAATTGTTTTACTCCTTTTTACACATTTTCGATTGCCTTTAGGTACATTCGTATACACGAGTAGTATCACAGCTAGTAGAGGGCATCTTTCCGCCATACATACTAATATAATACGCTCTTTGAGAAGGTGTTAGTCTATGCTATACCTTCATAGCATAGACCAGTAAACTGTGTCACGATTTAATCTATCTATACCTAATGTATGTTGTAAGTTTACTCCATCGTCTATCTCTTCAATTGGCTTACACCAAACACAAATCTGAACTAAAATCACAAGCGTGCTGGATCTCGATACTGGTTAAACTCAACCTCCCATTCTTACCTGCTAAAAGAACGAATTTAAAAAACATATCTGTAATCAATGAAGGCACTTTATTAAATGCAAATTGACAATGCAAAATATAGAAAGTTTAAACATAATTGGCTATATGAAACATTACATTACAAAAATAATACAATACATTTAAAAGTACTATCGATACGATACTGATTTGTTTTAGAGTAATGCTTAATTCTAGTCAGTAACTTAGCTTACATTTGGCTAGAGCTAGAGCTTATCGAATAATTAAGTATTAAGTATGTAAAGCATTTATGAATACAGTCATAAATTCCTAGCACCGTGTTGCACATAAAAACGTTATATGTGCAAATTATTTTCTGATCAATTATAGCTTGCAATTGAAGTAATCAATGCTATTATTAGTAACGTTATTACTAAACCTAAGTAATTCTGATCAATTACATTTATATTTTCGTAATTGTAATTAATTTAAAATTAATTTGTAATATAATTCAGTTGTGCTGTACGTATACGTATTACAGGTAATTCTTATAAATTCTAGTATCACTCCGTGGCAAATCAGTTAGCTTACTATGAACTGTTTAAATCTTCAATGCCAGACTCATTGTGCTTTATATTGTAACTATATTTAGCAATTTGTAATAGTGCAGCAGATGTAGCTGTACCAGTTTTGTCTACTAGTTCTCTTAAATAGCCGTTGGGATTTTGTAGAAGCTCATACGGATGTCCTAACTCCACAGCCTGCCCTGCATCCATCACTAACACCCGATCACTATCCATTACTGTATGTAATCGATGAGCGATTGTTAGCACTGTGCAGTCAGCGAACTTGGAGCGTATAGTTTTTTGGATAAGTTTGTCAGTTCTACAAATAAAATGATTAATATATGTAGCAGTTTATAATGGTTGATGTTCATTTATATAAATACTTACTCTGGGTCCACATTTGCGGTAGCTTCGTCCATTATCAATATACGATTTTTCCTTAATATAGCTCGTGCCAGACAAACCAGTTGTCTTTGCCCCACACTGAAATTTGAACCACCATCATACATTCTGCAATCTAAGCCACCAATCAACGTTGAAACGTGGCCACGCATTTCCACATCAGACAGCGCCTTCCACATTTCTGCATCACTGCGTTCATCCAATGGATCTAAATTATAGCGCAAAGTACCTGAGAAAAGAACTGGATCTTGTGGTATAATCGAAATTTTACTACGTAAATCATGTAGGCCCATATTTTCAATATTGACATCATCAATGCGAATTAAACCTTCATTGCAGGCCAATCTAAATAATGATTGTATTATTGAAGATTTACCAGCACCTGTGCGTCCAACAATACCAATTTTTTCACGACACTCAATCGTGAAATTTAAATCTTTAAGTACATAAACATCATTGGGCGAATATTTTAACTTGAAATCACTGAATTCAATACGTCCTTTATTAGGCCAATCACCTTTTGGCTTATATTTCTCAGCAGTTTCCAGTGGCGGCTCTGATGGTTGGTCCATGTATTCAATAATACGTTCCACACTAGTCATTTCATTTTCCAACTCAGCGGTTTGTCGCAAACCCCACTGGCACATACCAATCATTGTTGTAGAGTGTAATATAGCCAAGCCAACATCTCCACTGTTGAACTCTTTGCCCAACAACAGAAAACTAAAGGTTACTGCTGAAATATATAAGACGCATACAATATCAGACCAAAGGGCAAATGCGCGAGTACAAGATAAGAACAGGAACCAAGCGGAGGTATTAGCATTTTGATAATCATGAAACTCTGTTTCTAGTGCAGATTCAGCCTCCAAGGCACGTATAGTAACTAGACCCTGAAATGTCTGATTTGTAAGTGAATAAACAGGACTGCGCGCTGCAAAATAAATCATTTACAACACATATATACATTTTAGTATTATTATTACTTACTTATTGACTCTATGCGCTTAACGCTTCGACTAGTGTTAACGTAAAGATATCTCAGCATTACTAGGCATCCTATGATTACAATCGCAGGGACTAAAAGCCAATAGTTGGCAACAGCAACAATTATTAAAACTCCAGAAACATCAATGGCAAACTAAAATAAAAATAATATTTATAACAATCTGACTTCTAAGAACAACAAAATAAATATCTCTAATATGTTTAATAATTCTAAACACGACCATTAAAAATCATAAAAGACTAAAAACTGAATATCATCAAATAACATAGTATGTGCACTTACTGAGAAACAATCAAATAATGTGTGCGGCATATCTGTATCTACTGTGCGTATATCCTTCGAGAATCGGTTCAGAATGCGACCGGAAGAGTTCGTATTGAAGAAGTACATACTAGCTCTTGTAATACCACGGAACAAACGATCATGTAACTTTAACGAAATTCGTAAGCACATTCTAAAGAAACCGAATGTACGCATCAAATGTATAATCAGAGTGGCTCCTAATATAATTGAGTAAAATATGATTAGTTCTTGTCGTTTTTCGTCCTCATTATCAATTTTTCTAATAGTAACATTGGAAATTATATCTGTCTCATTTTCCACGCTAAATGTATGCATTGTAGATGGTAGTGTTGTGTTGAAAGTGGAATTTTCTTCTCCTTCGGTCCAAAGAACTGATTTTGGTTGAATAGATTCATCAACAAGTGCTACTTTTTCTTCCCATATAACCCTATCAAGAAAAATTAGTTAGTATCTACCATAATTAAAAATTTAAAAAAATCATTTTAATTTACCAGCGTGATAAGAAATAATCTACTCCAGTTAACATAAAACGAGTACAGATAAACAAGCCCACGATTACTAATAAAATAATGTTGCTTTCTAGTGCCTTAAAATATGACATATATACACTAAATTTCACAGATCCGACAGCCTGCATTTCCTTGTTAGCATCTTCAGCAGGTTGTTCTCCTGGCTTTAGAAGTTTCTGATGGTGTTCCATACTTTTCTCCGAATCACTTCGACTTATATGACTACCTACACTAACAGCATCATCCCCTCCTTCCTCGTGCGTTTGCTCTAAAAATTGAAACTGTTTCGATTTTTGTAATTCTTGGTAGCTACCTTGCGCAACAAGACTGCCAGAACTCATTAACAGCAACTGTTCTACATCAAATAAATACTGCAGTTGATGTGTTACAAGTATACGGATTTTACCCGAAAGAAAATCAGTAATACAACGCTCAAAGATATGTTTACCAACATGAGTATCTACTGCCGACAATGGATCATCTAATAAGTATATATCAGCTTTTCGGTATACAGCACGTGCCAAACTAACACGTGCCTTTTGGCCCCCACTTAAACTCACACCACGTTCTCCTACAATGGTTAGATCTCCACGAGGAAATAGCTCTAAATCTCTTTCGAGTGCACAAACTTTTAGTACACGGTTATATCGTCGCTCGTTATAATCTTCAACGAAAACAATATTATCGCGAATAGTGCCTTCAAAAACCCATGGCTCTTGGGCGGCATACGATATTTTTCCATGTACTAATGCTTCACCGGAATCGATTTTTACTTCCCCGAGCAGTACATTCAAAAAGGTGGATTTGCCACAACCTACTGGT